CCGGGCACGGAGGATGTCAATCCCCTTGCAGGATTGACATCCTTGGAGGATGTCAGTCCCCTTGCATTCGTGCCTCTTCCGTGAAAACTCGCGGGAGGCACTGCCAGCGCATATTTTCAAGGGCATTTGCACTCGAAACACCGAGAAAACGAGGAAAACCCGACCATGACGATCCCCAGGGGCACAAGGAAGCCCCATCCCCTTTCGAGTGCCAAGCCCCGAGAACCTCTAACGATAAAGTGATTGCAGATTTTCTTTAGTTCGTCTGGCGCTATTGGGTACGGATTGGACGCTTGGACTTCTTCATTGACTTCTTTTTTTAAATCTATCATTTCGGAAATTCAATTTTGAAAGTACAATTCCTCCACAGAAGCGCGTTTGCGAACAGGCAAAAAGCTGCGACGTTTCGAAACACCATTAAAAAAAAACATGTACCATATAAAAAATATAAGGTACCGTTTTAAAAAATCCATAACTTTTTATTTCGTAATATTCAAAAGTTTTTTTTCGCCCTGCTCCAGCTTTTATCACGAAATCAAGAGGAATTCCACGTCATCTGCGCTTTAAGGGTCAGCAACATCATTATTTTTTAATGGCCAACTTGCCGACATTTTTGAGCCGTAGTTCATTTGTTCAGGCCCACGTAGCCTTTCGTCTTCCGCAGTACCAGGTAATTAAAAGGTGATATTTTCTCGATACAATCTGGAGACTGTGGGAAGAAGCCGAGGACTCATTAAGCTGGTGCTGTTTCCGTGCCGTTCATTTCCCACGGAAATGGCGATCCTGGGGGTTGTTCAAGATAATATTTAAAAACCGGGGGAAGAACTTGATGACCGGGAGAGAATTTTTCTTGGCTGGGGGAAAAATACCGCTTTGCCCCTCGCTCAAAAAGTAAAGGGGCGAAGCAATTCTCGATCGGATTTCAATCTGTCAATATTTGAAACGTCGTTTTCAGTAACTCCACTGGCGGTGCTGTCGACGGCCAAGGCGGCCATCTGCCGATCGCTCATCACGAAGGCGGCTGCTAATGATGAACTCGGTGAGTTTCGGGCCGGGTTCCTGTTTTCGCTCTCGAGGTGTGAGTTCGCGTTGCATCGCGAGAAAATGGGCCGCGAATTGCCCAGAAAAGCTGCTAATGGGCCCTTCAGAAACCGCCGTGATGATCGAAATCGACAAAATCAAAATTTTATTTTTAAGAGCCCACAATGGTTAATTGTGGGCTCACCGACTCGGAAATTTGCTCTCATAAATCCTTTGGAGCGAAGTAAGAATGTGACTCGTCCCGGGCACGGAGGATGTCAATCCCCTTGCAGGATTGACATCCTTGGAGGATGTCAGTCCCCTTGCATTCGTGCCTCTTCCGTGAAAACTCGCGGGAGGCACTGCCAGCGCATATTTTCAAGGGCATTCGCACTCGAAACACCGAGAAAACGAGGAAAACCCGACCATGACGATCCCCAGGGGCACAAGGAAGCCCCATCCCCTTTCGAGTGCCAAGCCCCTTTGAGAACGAAAATGAATAGCCCCTTTGAGAACGAAAATGAATAGCCCCTCTGAGAACGCAAAGGAATTGGCCTCTTGAGAATAAATAGCTCAAGTGAGGAAACATTTCCTTCAATTAAAACATTCGCATCCGGCACATCCGGCACATCCGGCTTTGTGAACGACCTCAGAGTGCGAAATTGCAATATTCCCTCTTTCAATTATATATTCATTTCCGCTCTTATTAAACTTATGTTCTAATTTCATTAACTTTTTAAAAATTAAATTCCGTTCTTGATCGCTGACTGATCGCGTCAGCGATCGACAAGTCAATTGAAAAAAATCAGACTAATTCACTACAGAGTGACATCACGCTGCACGGCCCTCCAGACCAGCAGGGCCGACAACCACCAGCCCTTCCGGCCAGCAGGGCCGACAACCACCGCGAGGAAGAACAACTCCATTAATCCCCATAATCGATGACGGGAATCTCCCTCGCGTGCACCGCCGCTAAAGAAGTCATTCGCATTCAGCCCCCACTCGCACAAGTTCCATAAACGGAATGCACGCCCATCTCTCGCGTGCCCGCACGATCCTCAATCGACAATGAACCAAACTGGATTTCTTGCAGGGAAGATTTTCGCAATGGTGGCGTCAGCCGAGGCCCTCGTCCCGATCGTGGCCAGTCTCGTCTACAGCAAACTTTATTCTGCCACCTTAGACCTATTCATCGGAACCTTTTATCTCCTCTCGTCGGCCATTCTCTTCCTCGTCGGGAGCATGTACATGTGAGTACTTCTCAGCCTCTTTCCGACTGAATATTGATTTGCCCATTGATGTCGATGATGACGTCACAGACTCAAAGCATATCAATGTTTTGAGTCTGTGGTAAAGCAGATGCGACGCTTCAGACTTCGAATTATATTTGTTTTCTTTCCATTTCAGGTACGTTTTCTACCTGACTCGGAAACACAACTTGTATAAAGACAGAGAGAAGGATTGAGCGCGCTGCATCTCCCGAAAGGCCGCATCCACTCATCTTTTCAGTCTTCTTTCGTGATTGTTTAAATCGACTTCGTGTTGGAAATGAAGCTGTGAATCCTCTCTAGCTTTTCTCTGAGCGGCGATCGCGAGTCGAGACGCGTTTCTTCCTCAGGAGAAATTCCAAGACGAAGTATGCCGTCACCCCGGACAGAAGAAGGGCCATGAGGATCCCGAGTTTGTAAACCGTGCAGAGTCGGCTGCTGATGAAGTAGGCGAGGACGAAGCCGACGCTCTCCGTCACTTTGTAGGCACTGAAGGCTGCTTCTTCTTTTCCTTCGGACAGGACACCTAAAAGACCTGAAACAGACAGCCAGAAAAAAAAGCCATTACAATTTCAACGGTATTCAGTGCAGTAATTTAAAAATAAATTCACTTCATAGTATTTGTTGTGCATAGTTATTCCAAATAACAGTAACATTAAGCATATTTATACAATCCTTCCAAGAAGGAGAGGATATATCGTTTGCAAGAGGAATTGAACTCCAATTTAAATCAGTGCAAGCATATTTTAATGCCTGCCACAGGCGACTCACCGTTGACCTGAGCCTGCCAGACGGCATCGCAGATGCCCCAAGCACCGGCGACGACGAAGAACGCCCAAGCATGGTCGGGTGTCGGATGCCAGAAGAACATGGCGAGCAGCGTGGATGCATGAAGGAGGCCTGCGAAGATGAAGATGTACAGCCGGTCCACGTATTTCACCAGCCAGCCGGAGAGGAAGGAGCAGCTGGAATTGGCTGCGTGGAAGCAGGCCATCATGTATCCGATGTACCTGATTCCCCATGCGCATCCCACGAAATCCTGCCGTTCCGAAAACATAGATACCAGCAATTGATGAACAATTGAACCTTCAAATTAGGGCTGTCAATAGATTAACAAATTTTATTTATTAATCGGTCGATTAATCGAATTTTAATAATGATTGGGAATGATACTATTTGTGTCATGCCCAACATCAAGGCGATGCAGTCGCTAACATACAGTAGTAGTCATTATCCATACATGCACTAGATCACCCTACATGTGAAATATTCCATCTGAAAGAAAATAGTTGCAATTTGGGCAGGTAAATAATGAAAAGTAAGCAAAGAAACACACTGAGGTCCTTTTGCCATTCAGCCATCCCATTACGGAAGGATAGAAAAATGTCACCTAAATCATTGGACGTATTCAGTGAAACTTCATTAGGCGAAGATTTAATGATTCATTAACGGCAGCACAGGATAGAAGAGCAAATATAAGAGGAATTCGAGAGGGTTTCACACTTTTGTTTCTCAATTCTGCCGCCTGCCCCCGGCTTTCCTCCTCTCGGTTACTCTCCTGGGACTCCCACAGACCATGTACATGTACATCTTTCACTCCCCTGTCTTTACATTATCCACTTTCCTGTGTCTCCTGTCCCATGTTCCTGCCCAATTCCCATTCATACTTCTGTGCTTTCCCTTGCAGTTTCTTCATCACGACTTTCTTTTCCCCATTCACATCCAGTCACTTTTCGGTCGGTTTTCCCAAAGCCGCTGCTACATTAGCTTGACGGAAGTGTCGGGCGGTAACGAAGTAAGAGTAACGCGTTACAGTAACAAATTACTTCTTTCAGTAACTTTTTTGGTGACGAGTTACTTTTCAGGGGAAGTAACGTAACTGGAAACTAGTTCCTTTTTCATAGGAAAAGTATGTGGCGTTATTGCAACGCGATTCCTTTTCTTGATTTCAAGCAAATTAGTTAATTTTGTTGCATCCTAATCCTAATTGATGCATTCCAATTGATGAAAAATTGGGAGGAAAGGCATTGACATGAAATTGCCTTGAGAAACCATGGTTTTCAGAGCAGGTTTCTTGGCCCTGCCTGCAAAAATATTTTTACGTGCAGGAGGTTAGGAACGAAGTCAAGAGTTCCATCGATGCAATGGCGTATTTTATCGGGGGGCGGCCGCCCCCCCTGGAGCCCCTGGGATATAGCCTCTGCAACCCCCCAGACCCTTCAGAGAAAATATACCGCTGCATCAATTCAAAGTAATGTGGGAAGTGCTCTCTGACTGATGGCAAGGTACTTTCTTCCGCGCGAACTTCAGCATCTAACTTGAGAAAAAAGTCTAGATGAGCTCCATCGTGTCCTGGACTTCAAACAGACAACCTTTGGTCTAAGGTTATGTATGAATTATCGGCATATAATTCCTGTTAAGTAGCCCACGGGAAGGAAAGCGGCGCAGGGAAGACAG